TAGCTCAGCCAGACTGTTCAGATAAGTTTTGAAATCTTTTCCCCAGATGGCCTCAACATTTTATTCTTCCTCAAAATATTATATCAGATAACCAGGTGTCTAGTCAGGAAGAGATCAAAGCGGATGAAAACAAAGAAAGTTGGTCAAGGAATTAGAAGAGACGAATAGAACAATTGACGTATCACTTCTTATGGGTTTTGAATAAACTATCACCTGCAACTTGTCCAGAAATACCATCAACAGTAGGAACAAAACTGCCAATGGAAACCAATTTTCTAACAAAAGTCGAAAACTTGAATGTGATCAGGCCAATGAAGTCCGAGAAGGCAGTAGGTTCAAAAGGAATTCACACTGGAGGAAAATGTTAAAGTCAATCAGGTAGAACAGGAAAGGCCAAATACGCCTTCATCAATCTGAAACTGGTATGGAAGTCTCCTGCACTCTGCAGTGTAAAGAACAAGGTTCGGATTCTGTTCAACACAAATGTGAAGTCAGTCAGTCAGTTCTTTTATATGTATGAGAAGTTTGCGTTGCGTTTCACGAGAAGCATCTCCAACAAGTTACAGACATTTATGGACAGTTGCCCATTTCGTAGGATCTACACTAGTAAGCAGATGACCAGTCAGATAGAATGAGCAACAAGTGTGTCTGGCTGGTCACGAACCAGCCAAGAGCCAATCGGTCAACAAATACGTAGGGGAAAATGGAGATAGATTGATTGAGCGTACGATGAGATGGCTATTTAATGGCATCACGCACAATGCAGTCCATAAGTGGAGTGGAATCTCAGTGAAAGGCGACGAGTGGGTCGTCGATGTGTAGGCGACATGTAGAAGACCGTGCGATTCGGAAAAGATGAGAGATTATGATCAATCGCAGACCTAGCTGAAGAGAACATCATAGGATAGAACAACGTGTATATGTGAATAGATGTTCAAGCCCCTACGTTCCTCTCGGAGTCCAAGGGAACAAAGATGAATGGAAATTGTTAATATAAGTCATCCTTTCTTCAAACGGCCTTAACATTTTGTTCTACCAACGTATATGACTCATTAGAGCCCTTTTTCAGATAACGGAGACTTTTCTATTTGTGTGGATGCTTAACAGTGATTTAAAGTCAGGTAGCCTAACTATTAGGTAACATCATCTGAAATTCTTTCGTCAGTATTATCACTTTTAAATTCGTAACGGCAGAGGGTATTTCCAACTTCATATGTGATTAGTTTCGTTTTGTGTGTGGAGTCGCGATTAATTGCCACAAGTACTAGAGAGATTATGAGGCGTCGAGGACACTCATAACAATTACAACATCACGATAAGACACAACGAAATCAATATAAATTATTTTCAGATGCATCATGTGTGAAACGCACACTCAAGGTGTTACAAGAGAGACTTTCAGAGGGAATAAAATCAGCCCGCAGTGGAGTCACTTAATATTCAACATCCGCCACAATGGCAGCTCATTAGAATGTAATTAAACCAAGTGATTCACAGAAGTTTCACAGATAATGTAAATTCTTCGTGCTCTCTGCAACAAACAAGCAGTAATTTGTCATTATGGGACAGTCTTTATAAATGTTCTCTCGACTTTGTCCATCTACAACGTTTTTTCTAATATCATAATACTTTGATCTCTTTGATATTCATATGAGTTCTGCAAGTTATTGATTAATATCTCAACAAATGACTGATGTTCTTTTTTTCAAATTTTTTGTGAGTCTGTGTGTTTCGCTAAAAACATGCCACTTTGAACAAACCAATGCAAAGTCCACTTCAAGTGTACATTCATCTCGAAATATTGACACTATGATCCTAAAATATCAATTTAACCAAATTGTAGTATAAAATGTTCACCCCCTTAGCAAAACTAGAAAACAGAGATTGGAAAAAGAACGTTGATCATTTGATTCATCGAATCCCAACCCAGTCAAATTATGAAATTGACACCAATGATCCTGATCCATAAATTCTTATTACTATGGTTCATAGCAATTTCAGAGTGTTTAATCCCCAAAGTGAAACAATATGCTACAGAATATCACGCATGCGGAGTCTCCAGATCTCTGAGTGTTAAACATAACTACAATTCGTGTTATATTTTAGAGGATGCACTAAAGCGTTTTGCATTACGTCTGGAAGAAATACCACAGAGGATTAACGCTCTTTCAGCAGAATCCTGCAAAGTGACTACTGTACAAATTGATATTACTGAAGACTGTAATGAAGAAAATGGAAAATTATGGCCATCCGATTCAATGAAGGAATCATGTTGGTGGAACTCACTTTAGGTGCTTAAACATAAGGAATTTTATCATCTAGATATTTTGAATGTCTCCAATGGGACCATACATATTCAATCAGAGGAAATATGGGGAGCATTACACGCTTGGAAACAGTCCTGCAACTAGTGTTCAGAGATCAGAACTACAAGGTACAGTGCGGAAATGTGCTCACTTTACGATAATAGAATTCGATATATGAGTGTGGCATAGAAGATTCACCAAGATTTTCACACAGAGGAATGATGATCGATACAGCCAGACATTATCTAAGCGTTGAAACAATAAAGAATGTCATTGTAAGTTGCCTTCCTCTGCTTTTTGTTATGTAACTCATAATTCCTAATTGAAAGGCTGCATTATCAATGGTGAAGATGAATGTACTACACTGGCATATGACAGATGATGAATCCTCCCGTATGTTTCTTCAGTGTATCCTGAATTGTCTTCAAAGGTGAGAAATTCTCAGTCAAATGCATGATCATCACTGTTTCATTGTGATTGTATTTTCAGGGAGCGTATCATGCACATTCGTATGTGTATGAAAAGGATGAAATTGATTCGTTGGTAGAATTCGCTCGATTACATGGTGTTCGAGTGATTGTTGAATTTGACTCACCAGGTGAGGAGTGTCGACGTTAATGTACTAACATCCGCTTGTGTACTTTGTAATTGTCATTTACTCCTTGTCTCAGTTATGGGTGGCTAATTGGCAATTTATGCGGTCATATTGTAACGATAGAAAACAAGAGCCAGGTCAGGAAATCAACACATATTTATTGATTTTCATGTACATCATTATAGATTATTGTAAGCAAACATTCACAGTCTTCTGATTGGTGGTTTCTCGATGAACGGTAATTTTCATCTCTTTTTTATTGAAGTTCACACCACATTCGAATCTATGGAAAGTAAGCTGAGATTCAGTAATTAGATCGATCTGGTCACATAATGTAGACAATAGAACTTGGTTTAATTCGACCGCCAAAATGTGAATAAAAGATGAAGTTAGAAGTACAGAATAAGATGGTTCGAATTAAGGATGAACTTCTCAAATAAAAAATAATATAAAACATCCTAATGGCTATATCCTTTGTGCATGGCATGATTGAGGAAGCCGTTTTCATGTATACAGCTAATCTGAATATCGCCACTGTTTGCAGAAGATTCAACTGCATGGGGGATCCGCACCTGTGAATACACTTCAAGTTTCTCCAATGTCATATCGATGATGTAGCACCCGAATTACTGATAACCGTATCAAGAAATCATACCCAGAAGCGTATTTCATATGACAACCTGTTATAGTGAATAATATTCGAATCCAAGCAATTGGCGAATGTAATTTAGCGAAATAAATTCATTTGGTAATTGCATGAAATTAACAAACTGTCTATCACATATATATCTTTCTGTCATCCAGGTCACACTCTGTCATGGGGGAAAAGTCATCCTGAAATACTCTCGGGTGAATCACACGACGGACCGATCAATCCAGTCGATGAGAATGTCTGGCCATTTCTGTCAAATTTATTCAGCGAAGTGTTGAGTGTATTTCCTGACCGTGTCTTGCATTTAGGTGGAAGCATTTATGACAGGCATTCATGGTGAGTGTGCTGACATTTTTATTGTGTAGTTCGTTTCATATATATATATATACCTGTATAATTTCTTCTAAAGAATTCAATGCGATTCAGCTTCTGCGCCATGTGAAGAAGGGGAATATGACGGGAAAGTTTCTATCTTTGCGTTTCCAGTAATCCTTCCTTTCCATCTCAAATGCATTGTTCGACTCCTCTACATTTGCAAGGCGTCATTGTTTACAGCTAATCGTTGAGGAGATATTTTTGAGTTTTATTTATTCCGTGTCAAGAGGTTCGTACGAGATATTACGATTAGGTGCCTGTAGAGAAGAAATGTATGACTGATATTAGAAGTGACTGTCAAATAATGGAGGTGACTTCGATACTTCATGCTTTTAACTCATTCTACCTGCATGAGTTGCGTTTTATCCTTGACGACGACATCTAAATCACTTGGTGGAAAATACGGCGATCATGAAACCGGGGAAGACTGTTCACCAAAGATTTTTTCCTGAGTATTTTATACGACTTCACAAAACCCACATTCCAAAATGGTTTGGAAGAATAACTTCAGGGTCTTCTGTTAAGGATTCAAATAGTCACAGCGACTTTCTACAATAGAAGTCATAAATTTAAAAGAAGTACCAATTGTACTACTGCGATAGAGATTCACACAAGTGTTTAACCCAAACACCGACTTAAAAATTAGCATTACAACCCACAGAGGTATAAAATATTGAAGTTCATTTTGACGCTGAAATTGATTTTACAATTGAATCATGATTAGTAGGTGTGAGTGAGTGACATGCTTTCAGTAGTGTGGGGATACTTGACGACGACGAAGTAGAACACGTGTTTTTATGTCACACAAGCACCTAGAGATCCAAACGAGTATTCAGTTAATCGTCGAATACTTTGGTGTCAAATCATCACCAAACACGTGGAATTGAAACGGTGTATCAGCTGTCTCTGATATAGAAAAAACTGCAGTGAAACTACGAGGGAGTATACCTACAAAAAGGAAGTTGTCAAACTGTGTGAATGCACTGATGTGATTTTGATAGTGGAACATTGTAAATGAACCAGCTTTAAGGACTCTCAACCCTCGGATCCTGAAGCTGTTGCCGTTCCCTGAAGGACAGTAGATGCATTCAGAAAACAATGAACTGAACTAACTCGAAAATATCAGAAAACGAATTGGCGATTATCAGATTGTTTATTGTTCCGCTGACAATAAATCTGAGTGAAAAGACAGTTACAGTGCGAAGAATTACAGTACCAACAGTTAAAGCTTCAAAATGTCACGGGTTCAAATGCTGAAGCTTCAGGGTCAATAAATCGATATCAGGAATACATCTGATCGTATTGTTCGAATAATCTGCTGAACAGCAAGCAACTGGATCATAGTAGTCAATGAAACTTCCGACGGTAAATGAACCGGTTTGAATATCCCAGTTCATTAGACATTCATTCAATATTAACAACACAGACAAAGAAATTTTTTGCTGGAAACCTCATCGGCCAGTGAGTATCATAATCTTACCGTGTATTTTATCGAATCAACTGGTCTATTATGGAATTATACTTTACCATCGTGACTAAATTCCGCTCTAATATTAATTCATATTGCTAGTTCAATCTATATTGCATAAAAAGTAATGATGGTAGTTGGGCATTCATCCATGCCTATTGAGGCGTCAGATATGCGTTTCCCTTCGTCACATGTAAACTATGAAGTGCTTGACCAGATTTCTATTCTGGTGTCTTTATCTATTGAAAGACAAGTAGTTTCCTTGTTTCCCATTACACAGATGACACATTCGAGTTCCGCATAGTCTGTCACTCTAGCAATCTATTCATAAAAGAATGTGAGTATAGTCGATCTGTAGAAGGGCTACTTGCATTTCTGACAAGAAACATGTTCTTCTGTTGTGTATGTAGGCAAGAAGACGCCAACATTCAAGAATTCATGAAAGAGAAAGGATTCGATCAAGACTACAATAAATTAGAAAATTATTATTTTGAACGCCTCACAGAAGTTATTCAGAATATTACTTCAGCATCACAAAGCGTGACACCTGTGGTATGGCAGAATGTATTTGAGAATGGATTCCGAGTAAGTATTCTTCAGTTTACGACTACTGTTCATAACTTAATGCAGTTTTATTCTCACCTAAGCAACCAATTCAGAAATTCAGTTTTAATATGGAATATTTTGATCATGTGAATTTCGAGGCAGATCACAAATACTATGAACAGGAGAAGGATATTAGCAGATTTCTCATCACATTAATGAAGCATTAATATACCACCTCAAAATTGTATCCAGAGAAACTCCATTGTTTTATCAAGCGTTTCTATTCATCGTCATTCTGCCTCATTGTTGTAGTCGCATCAATTTGGATTTAAGTACCTCCAAAAAGTCTTATACTCTTCATCTCTACATGGGATCACTGATTCAACTAAATTATGAATCAGAAAATAGAAGAATTAGGAAGTTGAATGGTGTAATTTCTTTATCTTGAAGTAAACTTTGCTCAATTTACAAGCCTGACTGAAGGTGACTGGAAGTGACCAGGAGTGTGATTTGTGTGAATATACACACTGCCATCTAGAGTATGATTACAATGCACTGAAACAAGCAGATCATTTAGAAGTGAACATGTGGAAATATTCATGTCATTCCAATGAATCAACTGAATACTCATCTCAATTCACAGGTATTTGTATGTGATTGTCTGTCCACTTAATTTTTGTGTAGGAACAAACGTGAAAATTGTTAAGAAATAGTTTCGTGAGGATAAAACTGTGTCCATATTTTCACATCTTGCTACAATCCGAACACTCCAAAACTTATTCCATTTGTTACCTTAAATCTTAATCCTTCGAATGATTGACTTCAATGTAACACAAAACGACTTACCCTTCGTTAATCAGTATGTGAAATCAGCATCCCGAGACTAAAATTGGCTATTTCGCATTTGTCTAACATCTTAGAGGAGGTGACTTGGTCATAGACTGCCAGCCATCAAAGACTAATCCTTCATCTTAACGTTAAGTATTTCCACCAGCACAACCACAACAATATCACCGGCAGGCGACATGGAAGAGAAGGTGCCTCTCTGAAGGAGAGATTTCACTGCCTCAACAATACCCAACAATACCAGACACTACTATCTTTTCTGGCCGGCCATCTGATCTTGAGTATTGATCGAAGACAGATGTTGATGAAGGTCTGAAGTTTGTTGGAGATGCTGTTTATGACTCGCTGGCCAAGTCTCTGATCCGTATAGTAACTGGCACTGACTTCACATTGGAGTTGAAAATCCGGATCTTATTTTTGATTCTGAAAGCTGTTGACCTCCACACAGATTTGAGAGTAATGAAAGCTTGTCTTGCTTTTCCGATTCTGGCTTTGATATCTTCGTCAGTTCCGTTCGCCTGTAGTTGAAACGATGCTTCCCAGGTAGGTGGGTAGGTAGTTGAAGGAGGTTGTTTCTCTCAGGTTTCTCCCATTTATACTGGCTGATTGTTGTCTGTTGTTGTTGTTGTTGCTGTTGGTGTTGGTGTTGGCCAGGAATGTTCGTCACCTCTGTTTTCCCCGTGTTCACCTGAAGTCCTATCTTCTTCGGATGCTTCTTCTCTCGCCAACTTGTTACTTTTGACTTGCATATCTTCCAGTTTGTGGGAAATCAGACATATATCATCGGCGAAGTCCAGATCGTCCATGCTTTTCGTTAGGGTCAATTTTATGCCTGTTTCCTCATTGCCCGTTGTCTGTCTCATTATCCAATCTACTGCAATCAGGAAGATCATTGGTGATAGTAGACAGCCTCGCCTCACTCCCGTCCTCGCTTCGAAGGATTCTGTAAGTTTCCCGTTGTGGATTACTTGACATGCAGCATTGTCGTATAACTGTTGGATGAGATGTATAATTGTCGATGGGACCCCGGTAGTAGCGAAGTAGTTTCCAAATGACCTCTCGATCGACGCTGTCGAAGACCTTTTCAAAGTCGATGAAGTTGAGCGGGATAGAGAGGTGACTGTCATTCCAAGGTTTGTTCAGTGATGATCCGTAGTGTGGTGATTTGATCAATACATGACTTGTTTCTCCTGAATTCAGCTTGTTCCGGTCGAAGTTTTTCATCCAGGCTGGCTTTTTTGATTCTCTCCAGGATGATGCGGCTTAGTATTTTGCTTGAGATGGACAGGAGCATAATTCCGTGCCAGGTTTTGCATTGACTTAAGTCTCCTTTCTTTGGTAGTTTGAATAGGTATCCTTTCTTCCAATCCTCGGGTACTTTGCCCTCTTTCCACACCTTCTCCAGTAATGGTGTCATCAAGTCCGCTGGTGTCTCTGGGTTCATTTTCAATGCTTTTACTAGGATACCTAAGCAGTGTGGATTTCTTCTAAGAGATCCTGAGCGATAAGCAACAATCGAAACGAAATGCTTGACTTACATGTATTTGCCTTGACTAATGACATTAAAACTGGCAACCACAGGAATTTTATGGACTCAGGTAAGTGACGTCATAGGAATAAGGAACTCACGAGAGTGGTGTGAAATTCTGAAACATTACACCTGCTTTATTTAAGCTTTCGTCGGAGGGATATGCTTTGCCTGAATTAGGTTAGGTATAGGTTAAAGTCAGCAAGATAAATGTCGGTTAGCTATAGATTAGGGTTAGTTTTGATTCGGGCACTAAAACTTTTCTTCTTCATCATGTTGATCCTTTCGAACTCATTGGTACGTTTGCCCCCTTAGGTGGCTCTCCTCAAAATTAGTGCCACATTACAGATGAGAAGACGAACACAGCTTCAAAAACTTGAAATGTGAGGTGCGCATCTTAAATTCCGTCAAATCACTGTGACGATGTATGAAATGTAAAGCAGCAGAACTGTGTACAAGTCATTCCTGGGTCTGTCAGAAATAAACAACGCGCGGCTGTACAGGGTGGGGCGAAATTAATTAAAAATAGTCGAATACAGACATTCCCAAGGATGTACGGTAAAATATAAAATGGATGAAGGTGTACTACTTTGTTGTGACGAGTAGTACACGCCTTAACGTGAAAATAAACAGCAATGTAGGATCAGAAGATGCCGGTAAACAGAGAAAGTGAGGTGACAGGCACTACCCTAAAGCTCTGAAAGAACTCTATTTGTGCCGAGATATATGAATTCCAAAATGCCAATCTCAAACATCTGATAATCTAAATGGTGTTAATATTTTATATTTTACGATACCAGGTTAATGAAAAAAACGTCATCATACAAGTACACAATAATTCCGACTGGGAAGCTGTCACCAAGTCAATCACATCATCTGGATACAGAGTGATCAATTCAGCGTGTTGGTCGAAAGTTGTCAGGAATTTCGATGATGCATGGAAGACTCTGAACGATTGTGATCCCGCTGCATTTGGAGGTGATTTTGATGTTATTTTTGAATAAGCTATAAATTCCGTGAAAAATAAATGATGGAGAGTGGATGCCTGTTCCCGTCTGTTCTCTGAAAGAAATTTGACAAGTCTCAGTGCAGTGCAAGGTGTGGGTTTTAGCTGTATAATGTTTTGGTATGGAGACTTGTCATGAAGCAGACTTGAAGTTTCCATTAGACATCGGACCCTCGTCAACTATTTACAGAAGTAACTGTTCCTACATTAAATTGTGTACATGTGACCGAGGTAGACCAGGAGATATTACCGTTACTACAATAAATTGTGTAATTGATATAAGTATAAAACTTGGACACTGTGGTGGTAGAGTATAACTCCATTATGGATAAGATTTTATTTTGATAAATCACACACAGTGTTGTACAGTTATATTAACTGATGACGTTTCGAGCAGAAACTATTGCCACTCATAATCATATCAAGTTACTCACACAACATTGTTCTTTTATTTATATACATGTGTAGAATGAATTAGATATTGGATTAAAATCAATGTGAGATAATGTACATTCAGAAATAATAGTACGAGTGTTGTTGATCATAGAATCCTTATTTATCGAGTCTACACCCAACACATGCAACAGAAATGACTCAATGCAAATACCAGAGATATGGAAGATATTAATACCGCAGGTTGAATCAGAAGAGGATAATAAATAATCTTAAAATTCTATTTGAATTCAAACACATTCAAACACAACACTTTAACAAGTAGCTTATTATGACTGTAAAACACACTCGTCCTTTTTTCCCATCTAACGGCAATTGATCAACAACACTCGTACTATTATTTCTGAATGTATATTATCTCACATTGATTTTAATCCAATATCTAATTGATTCTACACATGTATATAAATGAAAGAACAATGTTGTGTGAGTAGTGACTTGATATGATTATGAGTGGCAATAGTTTGTACTCGAAACGTCATCAGTTAATATAACTGTACAACACTGTGTGACAGTTTCTCAAAATAAAAAATAACTTGTGTATTTACGACTGAGGCGATTCAGGTAAAATTCCAGAGTAATGATCAAAATGTGGAATAAATAATAATACAGACACTACTATACTGACTGACATACCCCATGAGATACCAAGGAATTCATTAACTTAGGATATCTGGATTAGGTCAGAATGGAGACTGGTGAAATGTACAGGTGTCTGAACACCGACAGCATTCCACATCGTCACAGTAAAATAGAATTGAAAATATTTACAATCGTTGTGCTAAAGTGCCTTCACTATATTTTTGCGGCAACACTGATGAATTACTGTTTTCTTCGCATCGTCAACAGGTACTGACGAGGAAGCTCAGTTGGTTATTGGTGGGGAAGTCACCATTTGGGGAACTTATGTGGATGACACTAATCTCTTCTTACGATCATGGTAAGCAATTGACGATCAGTATGTAATCGATTAGCTCAACAGATTTTCAAGTATCAAGGTTGACTGTGAATTGAATATGCATTGAATTTCACATCACAGTTCGACATAACTGTTCCATGAGATTGTATATTCTATTAATATCCAATGGAAATCTGTGATTTCTATGACACCGCTGTATTATTGTAAGGAGAGACATAATACCGTGGATGTTGTACCGCAATATACATTTATAGAACGAACTTAGTACCTGTCTTGCTGAAGGGGATTTCCGAATACTTAAATTATATTCAGAATGTCTGTGAAACGTGTCTAGACTGGCGGTTGCACTTCTTTTGTTATTTCCTAATCAGGTACTTATCGAACACAACTAAAACATAAACATGACGGGAAGAGTTTCAAAGTAGACAGGAATGAAGTGAATAGCTACACATAGCTGAATATGATGGAAATGGCGGACGGGGAATAGATTTCAAAAATCACTAAACTCTGTTTTTATTCATCACATGGTATTCATGCAAACAACGAAAGTGTAGGAATGATATTCGTGTGGTATTTCCACAGAGTGACGTTAGAGTTATGCAGCTTGCGATAAAGCGCAACGAACTGACAGCTATGCTGTATTGTAGCGACGGATGACAAGGGCTAGGCAACAGATTGTTTATTGAGAAATTCAAAGATATTTGTAGATTAATAATAATAATAATAAATAATAATTGATGTACATTATTGTCAGTGGAGAAGCAACGTCTTCTGATTGGTTGTTGTTTTTTTGCTGAATGTTATTCTGTACTGCTCATGACAGTTTCTTAGAAAGTTAAGCCATATATCTGAGAATTGTATTTGCACCCGTTAAGTCCGCTGTGATTGCCTGTTGAGTTCCTCAGGGTTAAGCTATGTTAATATTTTCCTCATGACTGTGATTCAGGACATAACATTGGCGCAAACTGTTGTCTACAATTTTGACTTGCAGCTAGCTGCCACCACAGTATAATCACAACTATTTGTTTTAATGCAAATATCATAGGGGATTCACGCAGGTGGCTACCAAAATCGGTTTCAGATGTCATGTTACGTGGTTAAGTATTTCACACTGTCTGGTTTATACATTCATGTAACGATGGTCAAAGTGAGGAAGGTGGCTGTACGCATATTTCCCCTTAACACACAGGTTTAGCTTATGCAGGTGGATCCCTATTTCTTCAACTGTTGTATGTAGAAAACGAAGTCGTAAAGCGAAATTAAGGTTGGTAGGAATGGAGAAATGTAATTGTCCAAATAATCTTATTAGTTTTCTGACTCCTTCATCTGTGCACTGGCCTACTCCTTAATTACTCTTCATTTTTCCAAAATTATGCATTCTTCGATCATTTCTACGTTTTAATTGTGTGTACTAATTTTCTCGTTGATTATCACCCGTCGCCTTGACATGTTGACACTGACTGACTAATTATTGTTATCAAACATATCAGTTCCAATGGATTGTGAATTGTTGTGTATTGTGATTAAAATGCTATACATGTATATTAGAGTAGAATCAGAGTGAGTGAGATGAGGATCTAATTGAAAAGTAAACATTTCTTCGCTGAATCCTTCTGTTTCCTAATTAGTTGATGTCAATTTCACAATTAGCACAAATGAATTCATGATTTTCAGTTTACTCAGTTCCACTGAAGCTTCCCTCAGAAAGCGAAGTTATTCAGACAACACTGTGAGCCGCTGGATATCATACACCGAAATCAAGATAGCAAATCTAAGTGCAGGGTGTCCTCTAGACGGAGACAGCTTATATTAACTAGTTCCGGTTGTTGACCGGATCGAAATGATTTAAGCAGTGGAAGGCACGTTTGCCCCTTTGGAGATGAAGGCGTCAGAGATAAGTTAGTTTGACTGAGTGCAGAGTACTGAGCCAGTTCAGTTGAAGTGACTGGTATCCAAATACTCAGGTCACTCAATCACTAGTATATAGAACTAGGTTGTGTCTCTGGAGAATCCACAGTCAGGTGTATCTGTAACCTTGAGATTACGCATTGCAAATAAATACCACAGGCAGTTTCTAGTTCATTGATTGCAGCATTGCATAACCCAGTGCTTCAAGGTGCCAGAACATACTTCACTCAGATTGATAAGGAAATCAGTCTGCCTATATGACTCGATTATCACGGAATTATCCAGAAACAAGTTGAACCACTCAATCAAAATGAGGTTAAAACACTCACATACGCTGATTTATCATACACAGAAACGAGTGATTTCAGATACATATACAGCCAGCTACTCTATCGCTGGCATGTATTATAAAACGACATTTCATTTCACTTTCATATCAACCGGGTAATTATGTTGACAACATGTCAAGGCCAATAACTGCCGTGGCTGCTGAACGTCTTTGGTCTATGGATCCAGGCGATATTCAGGACTTTTCATGGAGAATGAAAGAGTTTTACTGTCGAATGTTACTGTAAGTCACGAGTATTTCATTTATATTTATCAAGTCGATTGGCACTGTAGAGATTCAGTGAAATCAAACCGGATAACAATAGGAAGTTGTATGAGATTTCAAATTGATTTAGGAGCATATTAGTAACTGTAATTGACAACTAGGTGCATAATTTAGTATATTGTTAATCCTCTGAAACATTTTATCCGCCTTTTGCGTTGGCGATTTCACTGAGATGGAGATTCGAAGTGACCATAGATTCGTGGCGCATCACTTGTGACTATCGTTTGATTGAGTAACCGAGTGAAGTAAACCGTTTCGTATGAAATCGGGAGTAGTCATGGACACGACTGCTAGATGAAATCTAGTCCCACATTAATGTTCAGTTGGTATATTCCAAAAGTGCAAGAGCATGGCATACTTGCTCTCTTGATTCAACTGTAACCGTCATCCGGGAATCAAAGTGTTTATAAAACTTATGAAAAGAATTACGTCATCATTGAATCATTGCTTAAGTAAGCAGAGGCTCAATAATCCGGTCCAAGATAACAGTCAATATGAAATTGAATTTCAGGGTTACATTAGTGATTCAGTAACCTAATAATATACATCTATCCTATTGGCTAAGAGTGTTTGGTGTACCTGGAGCTAATGAGGACATATTTATTTCTCGGGTGAATCCGCGATCTTCATGTGAGATTCGGTTGTTCCGAAACTGTTGGGTATCTTACTGAGAAGTGAGAAAACCACATTCACATACACACGCACTCAATTGTAGACAGACAGTGAATATACGTATGAAATTTGGGCACTGTGGTAGTATGTAATTCCTTATTAATTTCTTTATTTGATATATTACACACACAGTGAAACAGAATTATTCACTAGATTTACAAAGTTTCAAACACAATTCATTATTATTCATAATCATATCCATTATCATGACTGATAGGATAATTGCCAGTAAATTGTGTTAGAAACGTCATCCAGTAAACAGTACTGTTTTACTCTGTGTTCAACAAATTAGTAGGCTGACAAGGGCTGAAGAGTGAAAATCGGATTTGGCATCAAATCAATTTCGAAATTTCCAGATTGATATTCCATTTTATATTTCTGTTTTATGAGGGTAAACTTCATAATGTCAGCCTCGAACTGACGAGCCACACGTCGTTCCTCATTGGGATTTCACTCAAGCGATGACCTTGTTATCACTCGATGTGATGAGACGGCCTCCTCATTGTATGCCCGATCCATCTTCATTTTTTCTCACATAATTGTTGAGCATTCGGCTGCTGGTTAGTTCGTCACCAGCCAGAGTTTCTTGTTGATAATTCTTTCTGGCCAGTCGACTGGTCATTTGATATTCAATATGGAGCCAGACAGCCAGAGTAGGTGGCAGCTGTTGAGAAAAGTCTGTAACTTGTTGAATATCCTTTTCGTGACACGCAGTACAATTGTCTGATCCGTGTAGAAAAATTGACTGTCTGACTTCATATTTGTGTAGAACAGAATCCAAGTCTTGTTCTTTATGCCGAATCACTGCAGTAAACTTCCAGTCCTCTGTTGCTTTCCGATTCTGGCTTTAACATCTTCAGTTTGCTTGGACATGAAAATTAATAATAATTCCAAAAGTGGACCTATTTGGTGCGATTATTCGTAATCTAAATGGTAAACATAGTGGTAAGCATGATGCTATATGCATCAGCTGCCATCAGCCAGTGCAATTTGCTAGCCAGGCCAAGGTGATACAAAATCAGAATAGTCATTTCACCTATTTACTGCCGGTCACAACGAAAAACTCAGCGAGGTACAGAAGTGCATACAGGAGTAAGACAAGCTGGCTGACTATTATCACCAATGATGATATTCTTAATTGTGCTGGACTGGATTATGCGTCAGACCGTTGGGGTCGAGGAGTCAGGAGTACGCTGGACGGCCAAAAATAAGACTCTAGAAGATTTGGATATCGCAGACGATCTATGCTAATGTCACCCAAACTCAAAGACCTGCAAGTTGAAACCAGTAAACTGACTGCAGAAGCAGGCAGCGAAGACAGTACTCCAGGTGGACACAGGGAAACGGAGGCAATAAAATATAACCTATCAACGGCAATAAGCACCTGAAAAAATCACCATCAACAGAGAGATTAAACAGTATTTGCCTCCTTCACTTATATCGGAGGCATCGTTTCAACTGCAGGAATTCGGAACGGACGAAGATATGAAAGTCAGACAGAATCGGGAAGGCAAGATACACCTTCATCAACCTGAAACCAGTTTGGAAATCTTTCGAACTCAGCTGCATCAGGAACAACATTCGGATTCTGTTCAACACCAGTGTCAAGTCAGTACTTCTGTACGACTGAGAAACCTGCATTGCGTATCACGAAAAGGATATCCGACAGGCTAGTGTTGATTTTTATCAACAGCTGCCCCCTACACTGGCTGACTCCATACTGAGGAACAAATGGGCGACCAGAAAGCATAATCAACAAGAAACTATGTCTGGCTAACAACTAACCAAGAAATAGACGATTGCTCAACAAATGTGTAGGAGAAAGTGGAGATGGATCGGGAGCACACTGAGAAGACCGCCGAATGACATCGCACACACCAAGCCATCGCTCGAGTGGAATCGCAGTGGGAAGCAACGACTCGGTCGTTGGTGTGACAGTGACATGGAGGAGATCGTGCAACAAGGGAGAGGACGAGATGAGATAATGATAGAGATGATGAGCTCACCTGAAGGGAGCCTCAGAAAACAGAACAAATCGGAGATGTGTTGTTGAAGCCCTATATTCCACTTGTAATGCAAGGTAATAATAATAATAATACATCACCAATCTCTCCTGTTTGAATCTGTGCAAACACACTTTCCCTATATTCATGACAAGTGATCCATGGCGTATTGCGATTTCATATTAGTATTTGCATGGAATGTTGGTTTACAGAGAAGGCTCAGTGTATTCTACTTGTTGTTCTGAATTCTTAAATTTGTGAGTGTCGACATCTGCTTACTCGTTAATACTAAATGGAATACCTAATATAGTTATTGTTTGTAGATAAATGAGAGTCATTCCGTTTACAGCTGCCGTATATTTCCGATCATCACTATCGTCAATCCACCTCTTTGTGGGGTTTACCGTGTCTGTGAATATAAAATCAACGAGTGTTTCGATTCAGAGTATCTTTCATTCCACTGACAGATGCACAGATCAGTGGTGAGTTAATCGAACGTAGAGATTCAGTGAGGTGCAGTTGTCCAGATGTCGAGAAACGAATGCAACATGATAGCCGTAATGCAGTTAAGATGGAATCACACTCTTGTGTCATAAGTCATCATCAAATTTCTTACATATTTGTGTCCGCAATCTTACTCGCTTCCTTTATGATAACCATCTTCACATTGTTGTGCTCAAGATGTCACGATATATTCTGTTTGATAATTCATCCTGGAACCAGTTCCACCAATTGTCTTCTTCTTCTTCTTGTCTTTTCTAGATTGAATTGGAAAGTGAGACCTTTCACAGGACCTGGATTCTGTCGAAAATGATGAGATTCCTCGACATAAATCACAAGCTAAATTAGAATTGACATACATATTCAGCTGAAGACACCTGATAAATCATTTGATTGCAAATATGTTTGTAGACAGATGTTATGTTATTATATGTTTCCTTGCATGTTTGATCTTTTCTACTAACAGGCTGTGAAAAGACTACAGAGGTAAACATAACGGGAAGTAATATGCTTCCAATTATACGGTTACTGTTAAATACACCTTACTTCTCAAGTCATTGTGTATTCTGGCTTATGTAGAGCAGGCCAGAGGAAACAGGTAGCAGTGGTATAATTTTGTATGGAAAGTCAAGTGGTATCGGCGATCAGCGAGTCTAAGAATTAAATATATGGCGAAACATAAATAATTGAGTCAAAAATGGTTATGTAAGACGTTTTTGCAAATGTTTGTACATTGCAACAGAAAATCTCTCCAAAGCCACAATGGATCATACTGACGCGATTAGTTCATGGAATTTGGAAGTAGACAGAAACATTTCAAGTTTCTTCGTCATACTCAACGGCTGTCATATATATACAAGGGTTCAGTTACTTTGGTAACCACAGAATTCATGCAGTCTGTGAATTCTTAGATATTCAAAAGCCTTAGTTCCATCGAATCTCATGATAAAATTTTGGACAATCTTCACAGATATGTTCAATCATACGTCTATTTAAGTAGTGACAGTTGCAAACAATTGTGTTTTTAAAACTGAAATGTCTTCCAGTTTTTTCGATATAAATGAAAACATGAAAAGCTCCTTTTAATGACATTTTCTTTTAGTGGAGGTTGTAATTTGTATTGAGAAATTCGTCTGATATGTGTTTGCGCTATATCGTGAATTTGCAGAAGTTGGAAATCATGCACTGACCATTGGATTGGGTCACAGTGGCTGAACAGTCTACGAGCTCACGTTGTCGCAACCGGAAGGGCCTGAATTCGAATCTCTGTGGTGGGTGTGTACTGTTGAATAGTCCCGAAGAAGGACGAAACGGCAGTCTTGTACTCCCAAAAAAGAACAAAACGATGGGCTTGTACTCCATAGAAGGTCTTCCAGTGGTGCTCTAAATGATGTCATCTCACGATGTAAACCTGTAACCAATCAGTCAAATCCCCTCACAGCCACTACTTGAGAAGTAGTAATTGATACCTCAAAGAAAATTAAAGAGTTTCAATAAACAAGAAAATAAAATTATTTAAAGGGTTATCTCGGATGGTGAACATTTTTGCCTATATTATTACTATTGTTACTGGTCGCTCATGGATTTCCTGGTGAACCATAGAACCTCGAAAGAACATTTCCAGTGTATTCTGCTCTCTATCATCTTTCAAATGTGACTCCACTACTGTTCAGAATCGCTCGCTTCCTCTTCACGTGATTTCTTCCATGTCACCTTGAGTTGGACAACCAACCTATCGCTTCTCATTCGTATGGAATGCAGCTGACGGACGAAATGGTGTGTGATGGATGTCACTGAACGGTTTCCTCAGTGTATATCGATTCTGTTTGTCTACTTTGTGCATAATGTATTAGGTTGGTTGGTTACCTGTTTGATAGGATAACTTATCACTTATACTTTCCTAACGGCCATTGCTTTCTTATGTCACTGTAATTCGTCTATACTACATATATTTATATATTGTTTGGCCACTTGTAATGATCTAATAACTCTCATTCGTAACTATTGTACCACATCCTTTATCAGGTCTAGTCATTATCAGATTTTCTTTCTACTTGAGGTCACGTTATGCTTCTCTGTGTTTCTTCGTAAGTAGACTGTTAACAGGATGTTTGCTTTTCTTAAACTAGTAGCAGGAACCGATTTGGATATATTTAAATCTTCCTAGCTAATTATTACCAAGAAATGAAGCCTTTTGATTCGTCATATAGGTTCTCAATTTGAATATCAGTCTCCAAGGGGTCTGTAACTTGACTACTCCTGTCACAGAATTTCAAACCATGAGATAAAGTTTCAAGTTGTGTCTTATCTAGAGAAAAGGTTGAAACCGTATTGGTTGTAGTCAATTGGAAGATTAGTTTCGGTCATTCTTGTATGTGGTCTTTAGCCTGATAATGTCGATTTCTTGTTTACGAGGTGATCTGCTCCTCATCCAATTGAATCACGAGAAACGTATACATCAGAACTAGACAGAAATGTTGCTCAAAGATTTTATTCACTTGACGAACTTCCCCAGAACTTGAAGGATTTATTTATTGACTATGTTAATGAAGTTATTAAAACTACAGCAAAGGGACAACCAAATGCGTAAATAGCGCAGTCTTAGCTTGCTTGCTATGTGCTGGACACACAATAAAACCAGATCAGGTGTTTTCGGTTATATACAGCGTTTCCGGTAATCTATCTAGAGGAACTCGACTATGCCTTATATAGTTGAAGCGGTAGCAATATATACTACGTGAGCGGGTCTTTGCATACAGAAAAAGCATTTCAAGACTGCAATGTTTACCTCGGACTACCATAAAATGGTACCCCATAAACATTCACACTTTAAATTCCTATCACAACAGCTGTTTCGTCCTACCCTGAAACTGAGAGGCAGTGTGCACCCACTGACTTTCAATCCTTCCTAGTGACTGGCTACATGATGAAGTTGTCTAGAGCTCTATGAGGAAGTTGTAACCAGTGGTGTTCATTCAGTCGGGAGTGAGGATGAAGTCCTACCGATGGCACTAGTTAGTGATCACGCTGAAATCGCGAATTAGTAGAAGTTAGAATTCATGGCCTGATCATTGAATGGAGTCCCAGTGGCTCTGGTTGAATGGTTGAATGAAATCTCCTTGTAACTGGAACATCCAGGATTGAAACCCAATGGGTGTGTACTGCTGATTAGTCTCAAACTAGGCTGACGAAACAGCTGCCCAACACTCTCTGGTTCTCTTATTGAAATCACTTCTTGATTAAACCTGTAATTGACGATTGTCCTATCCCATCTTATACTTGTTCCACAATACACATTTCTGATGTGATTCTAATTTGCATTTCGCTGGCTGGTTATTGTATGCTAAAAATTAGTGGATTTATAACTGTGGAGTCTGAGGATGAATAACTTTATTATTATTATTATATTATTGTTCCCTTGGGTTCCTAGTGGAACTTAGGGCTTCAACTGCACATCTCTACTTGATTCTGTCTTCTGATGTGCTTTTCACCTGCATCCATGTTAGTTAACACTGTTTCAACTCCTCTTCACACGATCTTCTCCATGTCACCCTTGTACTGACGTCCTACTCACCGCTTCCCTTTCGGCTTGGTTCCACTCGAGCAATGGCCTGACGCGCGCGCAATGTCACCCAGCGGCCTCCTCAGCGAGTGTCCAATCAATCTCGCCTAGATCACTAGGTCGTTCGTTTTCTATCCGGTCCCAAGCCCGGATAAAGAGGGAGGGTTTGGGCGTGGAGCTAGCAACTCCACCCCCGTAAAACAACCAAATCGTTACAGAAACTTCAACGAATAAATATATTGAAAATTCTAAAAATTTAAACAGTAACCTTATTTTTCGCTGGAATCGGGGAAGTGGAATGGCGCAGGCTGGCGAAAACCTTCTGGAAGCCAGTCAGCCGATGTGCCCTCTTACGATGAATAGAAAAATAGGGATTAAGAATGTTCGTACAATGTACGAAGCTGGAAAGGCTACCCAGGTAGCCGCAGATATGAGAAGATATAGAAAAGAATTGTTGGGAATTTGCGAAAGCAGATGAAACGGATGTGGCTGGTGCAAACCAACCATCAACTGGAGAGACAGTTATCTATACCGACCACCCAGAGGACAATCACGAGCATACCGAGGGAGTGGCCATCACGATGTCACCAATAGCAGCCATAGCTCTCATGCAGTGCGAACCCATCTCCTCCAGGATAATGACAGCCAGGTTCAACGCAAAAGAAAGGAAGGAAGATTACAATCATTCATTGCTATGCGCCTACAAACGTCTCAGAACAGACAACTACAAACAGTAATGGACAACGTCCCACATGGCAATATCAAAATCCTGATAGGTAATATGAATAAATAATTTTAATGAAAACACAATTGTTCATTGTATCTATTTCAATGTTTCCACATATTATAATGAATTCATAAAAACGTTTTACACTGTACGTGTGTAAATTATTACTTTTTGTCTCATGAAAAGAATCCGCTGATCAAATGATGCATGTTACCTTCCAAAATTAATTTTAAATTTAGGAAAAACAACTAATTCATCATTTTAATTCACCTTTACAAAGAGTGGCATAACAGAGATGAAAAGGAATTTTCTCCCTTACAGACCTTCTAAAATAAGACATATCATACTTCCATGAGGATTTATTGTCAATATATTACAGACAGATGGAGTTGTATTCACCTTACACGTTAGCAACAGAAACAAGGATAAATGAGGCGGTGAAATGTGACAAAGCAGGCGTATATTATTATGCCTTTATATTTTAATAAAACACGTCTCACGCAGTCACAAGACTGTCACAGTGTCATTTGAATGTATTAATTGCGAAAACAAAATTGTTTGAGTAGACGAATTCTTTTCTCGAATGACAACAACAACAACGTGGATGATGGGATGGCAATATGGAATGAAGTAGAGTATTATTTTGGCTACTGATTCTACACCAAATAATAGACAATGAGAGGGGAACATGAGATCAAACGCTCTGTCTACACGAACACACGTTTTCCTCAGTCTTGCCAACATCAAGCTGTCATACCATAGTGTAACCTTGAATTTATTCAGACTAAAAATACCACAATAACAAAAAACAACGCATAACTACTAATTGGTAAAATTTAACAGCACACATAATTAAATTGAATAATAATAATAATTTGCTTTATTCCAAAACAGTACTTGTGATACGAAACGAAATTCTCAGTATTTCACTACATACAGTATTGCATCCAGTTGGTACATTAACAATAAATAAAATTCTACATAGATTGAGGGTACTATCTCAGTTCATCATGGCAGCAACATA